ATAACATAAGGACAATACAGGTAGCTAAGGTGGAAAAAATATATCTAGGGGGCTAAGGCCCTGCTCGCCTCCTGAGACTTCTGAACTGCTCTGTGAGAGGATGTGTGACATTGGAGAGACACAGCAGACATGTTTCCTGTTTGAAAATGTGACACCAAACGTATTTTCAGTAGGACAGATTGTCATATGAATTAAATGTGTATTTTTTACATTTCTGTAAACGAGAGACCTTTTTTGGTATGCATGAATTGGAGTAAGAGCTTCATTCTTAGGGGCTATGTATTTAAACTTTGACTGTAGTAAAATTCTTGAAATTCATGGATTTTAAGGCCAGAAGGGACTATTAGGTGATTTAATGGTCTGTAACTTGCAAGAGGTCAGGCTAAATTTCACCATTATCTGTGTTTTTTCTGAAGCATAACTAGGGTCTAGCTAAATCATACTTTCTAGAAAAGCACCAGTCTTGATTTGACATAAAGAGATGAATGATTCACTGAACTTGCATGCAAAAGCAGTGCTAAAATACTATTTTAGCTGTTTGTTCCTTACTTTGAATCCTTTTGCTAGGTAAGCTTAGGCAGTTCTGCATGCAGGTATCTGCCTATCAATGCAGTGTATCAACAGTTATGCTGCTTGCTTGTCAAGAGTGGTGCTCCTTGGGAATAAAAAATAAAAACAAGTGTAGCTGGTATGAGTTACTGCTGCTATATGGCAAATATGTATGTCTTTAAATTTCTGCTACCTGGATTCGTGCCAAATATTTCTTACTTATATTAAATCTTAACTACTATTAATGCATGCCACGTGACAACCTATTCCTGCAAACAAGAAGATTTGTCATACAATGTGAAAATACAGCATACTTTCCAAAGCTTGGACACCTGCATTTAGTGGTTATATATAGAGCAGAAATTCACGGTTTGCTTTTGGGTGCAATTTGAGGGCTGATCTTCTGAGCTGATGAAAATCTGTGAGGTTGGGGATTACACCCCATTTGTTCATGTTCCATAGATTCAAGGCAAACTGACAGGCCAAACGTAGCTGCAGACTAAGTTTTGTAAAACTGATTTTTCCATAATGTACTGTTCCAGGACCTCCTTGTTTTAAATTGTATCTTAATGGGGTTTCTCACGCCGCTGTCTTTAAGGTAGTGGTGTAGCATTTGCAGGCCAAGCGGGACAGCAGCGGCAGTGCAGTGCTCGGTGTCTGACACTGACAGCGACTTCATTTTTCTCAGTTTACTCAATGAAATGTACCAGCTACCAAAATGGTGAAAAATGAGATTCTTAAAAATTGTCAACCTCAATATCCTAAGTTATTACTCAAGATGTAAACACAGGGCTTTTATTTTAGGAAAATTCATAGACATTTAACCTGATGGTGTCATAAACCATTGACCCGGTATCCTGTGACATATTTCAAATATTGCAGACTAGCATCTCCTTTGGCAACTCTGATAAAGCGTTTCATGATGTGACGTGCATTTCACTTCAGCCTAGTTTCTGTTACCATGGAAAAAGTTCTGAGGTCTTTGTAGCAGAGACAACTTCTTGGGGCTGAGTTATGAGTCACACAAATACAATGTTTTCAACCTGCTTTCTTGCATTAGTTTCAAAGTATAGAGTACCACATGTATCGCAATACCCGTTCAGTTAATCTTTGCCTTCCTTGTTAACTGATACGCTGACCTACCATTGACAAAGCTGTCAGCACTTTGGTTAATACTTAAAATCTTCAGCAGCTCTTCTTTCAAACTCTGTTTCACAGTGTTTGTCTCCATGTCATAATTACAGAAAACTTAATTAATGGTATTTCTGGAAAAGATGTACATGCCACTTCAGAATTGCATAGAGGCTAATTTTTCTTCCAAAACAAGTTGATCAAGGATTTGAGACTGATTTATAAGTGAATTTTTCAGCCAGGGAACTATTCTGTCTTCTTGAATCTCTCTGCTGCTTTGAAGAATGCTCCAACAACTAAGCTATTCTCTTATAAGACAAACTGTGCCACCACGTCCTTTATCTCCAGACCTGCTTTGGATCCCTGGCCTCAGAAGATTGCAAGCTCTGGATCCTCGCTGGGAGGGGGGCATGGAGGCAACCCTGAGTCAAGGATCTATGCTCTGGGGAGGAGTGGTGTTTAGGCAAACCCCCGGGCTTAATGTCTTCTACAGAGAGCTGCAGGCTCAGTTGTGCGCTCAGCCTACCTTGAGGCTGCTCCTGCTGTATGAGTGTTTTCCTCCCCGTACGTATTTTGGAGTCTTACTGACCCACTGCAGCCAAATGTGAAAGCGAGATGGGGTAACTGCAAGTATTAGAGGAAGGAGACCCAGAACAAGGCCCTCGTGCTGCCAGGAGCTCGTTCATTTTCTACCTGTTTGACCTCCTGGCCAGTAAATCAAAATGCGTGAACCCATTTGCTGATCAGCACACACAGCTCTGCCGGCTGCTGTCAGTAGTGAAAGGGCTTGGAAGGGAGAGGGGGCACTTGCAGGTAGGTGGGGCTGGGGGAGGCGTGGGAAAGGACGTCGTTGTCTGGGGTAGGACCTTGATTCTCTTTGCATGGATGAAGAGGAAGAAAGTTTTTTTAAAAAAAAGTTATACAACCCAAGAGCTAGAAGAATTGTCTGTTCTTCCTGTGCCACAAAACTCCTTCTGCTCTCATCTGTATGCACACAAAAACATAGTTCCAACCACAAAATTACAGCTGTATAGAAAATAGAAAATTATCAGGTTATTTTACCGTGTTTCTGTGATGACATCAGACTTATGTCACACGAACTTCAAGAACAGCTGGAAGTGAACCCGAAGTATCGTGAGGATAAAGAAAAACAGATGCTTGTTTAAAACTCACATGCATTCATTCATGTGCAGATGAACACTAGAGCTGTATTACAACAGAACTGAAGACCTGCTTACTCTATGGATTTTTATTGCCCGTGTTTTGTTTCACAAACGACATATTCATAAGCCCTTCCATACAAAAACATACTTTCAGAAACCCGCCTGTATAGAGCAATTTTCAGTAGCAACCTAGAAGGAGGAACGAAACATTAAGGTATTAATGACCCATGGAAAATGAGAAAATATGAAACACATTTGCCTTGATCCAATATAAGCTTTGCAGAGTCATTATTCCTCAAGTTATATGGCCGTCCAAGTCCCTTACATGCTCACATGCATTTTTCTTTCCCTGGAAGTTTCCCGTTGTCTCAGCGCTTTGAATCGCATGGGCTGCTCTGAACTAGCGGTCCTCATTCTTCATGTAGAGCATGGCCAGCTAGTGCTAGCGGGCAGTGAAGACAGCTTCTCTATTTATCCTCCACCACTCAGGACAGTGCTCGCTGGATACCAGTATAGAAATCATGCGTAGGAACACTCCGAGTAAAAACAGAATGACTTACAGGTGTACAAGTAAGCAGCTATATCATATTTAAAGCATTGCCTTTAGTCTTCCGTCCTGCTTTTGTCACCCTGTTCAAAGAACTGTACCTAAGTGATGGGAGGAGAACTGGTACATCAGTGCTTTCCGTGGATAATTCTCAATATAAATTTCTACCTCTTATTTGCGGGAGTACGTTGATAAATCCAAAGGAGAGGGATGGCTGTAGGCAATGAGGTTTAAGGCAGGAAAAGAACAAGAGAGGAGAACATGTTCCAGAGAAAGTTTTGATCCAGTTGAATTCAAAGGAAAAAAAGCAACTCTCGCCAAGCTCAGCAGCGCTGCGGCGGTGCGCTCGTCAGTCCCACGAGATCGGCCTTGGGATGATGCTGTGCCTCCAGTTTCTGTGGACTCCCACATTTCCACTCCTGCCATCTGAGCAGTTTTCTCTTTAGCAGCATCCCTTTTCTCCTTGCTCCATAGTTAGTGAGGCACCGGAAAGGGCAACTCTTTGCCACTTGGTAGTTAGTGTAGCCTAACTACACTTCTAGAAAACTTTGAGAAAACAGATTAATTTTAAATTCTGTTATAAAAATACTTCATTGCATAGGCTGTATTAGAAGAAGTGTCTAAGATGTTTGATATTTAAAACATAGTGATTGATTTGAATTGCCTAAATTTATTATTTTTAGTGATTTATTCATTTATTATGCTCTTTTATGGTGTTAGTGAATTTCATTTATTTTCCTAGTCACTGTATCCTTCAAGATTTTAGATTAGTAGTTCTCATCCAGACTTGCATCTAAGAAAAAAAAGAGATTTTTTGCCTGTTTCTAATTTCCACTCGGTTTCTCAGCATTTGAGTGATCACCATTGAACGCACTGAGCAGAAGCAGCTGCTATGGGGCCATATTCTTAGAGAGCTGTGGTGGAAGTGGTTGATTCTATCAAAAAGTGGTTTTCCACTTCAGCAAAACAGTGGTTTGACTTTTTTTAGAAATTAAGCAACAAATTTGTACTGCATCCTTACTTACTGTTTTTCTTTTTAAAAAGATTAAATTTATGTCTCTGTAAAAGTTTTCCATTTCAAACTTCATTTTAAAATGTATGCAAACTGAAATAGCCAATTCCAATAAAAATTCTCATTTGGATTTTGTCTTGTTTTCTTTTAAAATCATCATTTTTTATCCACTCTGTTCAGGTTTTTAGAGACAATTCAAACTTCATAAGTCCCGAGTAACTGGTTTCTAACCATTTTAATAAAGCTGGTAAGTATCTTACACAATTACCGGGTGCTTGGGTTCATAACTAATTTTAGCATTCATAGGCAAGTTCTCTTTCTAGCTATGCGTAACATTCTCGTCAAATGGTAGCATTTTGCTCTTTCACCCGTTTTAGAATAAACCTCATTTCTTACATCCTCACTGAAGCAAACCCTGAAAAGGAGAATAGATTTGCCATGTACTATATAATTCTTTCATCTGCTCCCTGTTTTATCTGTTTTACCAGACTATGTAAAAGCCTGCCATTTTAGCATCTGAGACGTATGTGTTTGCGTGTGTGTGTTTGTATATAAAGATGTATTGATACGGATGTTCTCGTGTCTTATCTGTAGGATACGTCACTGGCTGAGGTAAACTCATTCAGTCCTTCAATGCCAGTATCCCCCTCATCCATGCTAAACCAGTATAAATTTGAAGATGAACCAGAATTAAGAGATCTCTTCATTACAGTGGATGATCCTGAAAGCCACATTACAGCCATTGAAACATTTATTACATACAGAGTAGTCACAAAGGTAAGCGTCTACTCACGGTTATAATGGCTTCCATTGATAACAGCAGTAGCGTTTTCACTCGTCTTGCATACCATTCTCTGGGATATTCCTAAATTTAAATTATACTCTGATTTTGCCATAAGTTATAGACACTAAAACTGTATGAAACTGTGCAGTAGATGCTGAAAAAAACCCTCAGTATGAGTCTACGCACATAGGTGCTTAGGCTTTTTATGCTGAGAAAATAGCTAATAATTCTTCAACAGCCAAGTCAGTTCTATATGAGAATATGATCACATTTT